TTAGCCTGTTCCCTCTTGTTTGGCCCTCTGGAGGGGCAGAGAGAAGCTGGCCAGCACCTACGTCCAAAGAACCTTCCTCGGCTCAGAAGGGTGTCATTAAGCCACCCCTTCTCCAGGCTAAATAATCCCAGTGCCTTTCACCCTTTCCTCTCGGGTTCTGTTCTCCAAGTCTGTAAGTATTTTCAGTGCCTTCTCGGTATTTTAGGATGCAACCCTATAATTATAGAGTCTCAGAGCTGGAAGGTATCTGGGAGATGGCAGAAGGAGAGCCAGGCACAGACGGGTAGGTCACCTGGCACCCGGAGGGAAGGAAGCCCATCAGAAGCCCTTCCCCAGTCCTCCCCCACTGAGGAAAGCCCTGCTCAGGTCTCCCTAAAGAGCTACATTAAGCAAAAACCTCCCGAGCAGTTCTTGTGAGCTGCGCATTGCCTGGGCATTTTCACATTTCACCTCCTTAATCACTCAACAGTCTTGCCGGGGAACAATGACTGGCCTCATTTTATAGGTAAGGAAACTGGCTCCCAGAGAGAAGTAACTTGCCTCAAATCACACGCCAAGGAAGTCCTAGGGCTCCTTTGCCCAAACTCCCCAACCTGCTACTCTTACCCGACAGGCTGCACCCACAGAGCGATTTCCACAGGCCCTCGCGGCAGGGCCTCTCCCTGAGGAAGGCTGTCGAAGTCCCAGGGAATCCAGACCGGGGCTGTGGCAGGAATCGGTCAGGGTTTCACAGGGAAACAGAAGCAGTAGGATAGACCTTTATGTAAACAGTTTTATTTCAAAGGATTGGCTCATGCAATTGTGCGGGCTGGTAAGTCAAAAATCTGGAGAGCAAGTGGCAAGTTGGAAACCAGGCCAGAGCTGATGGTACTGTGTCCAGGCAGAGTTCTCCAGCAAACCTCAGTTTTTACTCTTAAGGACTTTCAACTGAGTCAACGAGGCCCAACCACATTATAGACGATAATCTTCTCTTCATCAACTGACTGTGGCTATTAAGCATGTCTATAAAATGCCTTCACAGCAACACCTGGATTAGCGTTTGATTAAATAACTGGGTTTTATAGCTTAGCCAGGTTGACACATAAAGGGAACCATCACACCCTCCTTTATGGGTGTTGATGGGAGCCACGGAGAGAAGTCAGCCTGATCCACTGGGCATTCTCCCAGAGTCCTACGCAAATGCTGGGAAGGGGCCAAGCCTGGGGACTTGGGGATGGCAGATTCCCCTGTGGACCCCCCATTATGAAGGCATCCTAGGTCAGGGTTCTCCCACCAGATCCAGACCTGACCACTTTCCCCCAGGGACCCCACCTGGCTTCTGCTTACTTGGGAGCTACAGTTAAGACCCACTTTCTTTTCAGGGGGCAGAATGCTTGGAAGGAGCAAAGGGCAGTCCTGGGAGTAGGAGTAAGATGACTGTTGCTTGAACCCTGAGGAAGCCTGTGGGCCAAGAGCCCTTGAGGGTAGGGATGGTGTTTTATTTTCTCTGCACCCCAGGCCTGGGACCATGGCCCACTGGAAATGTGCCTTTTCCTTCCATCACCTACCCAGGTAAGTGCCTGAAACATTCTAGGAAGAAATCAGTCTTGTTTTTAAAGTTCTTCCAAGAAGGGAATTTATGATAGCAGGAACAGGGCTTCTCAATCCAGAGAGTTCTTAATGTGTAATATAAATCTCTCCAATTTTAGGATCGTTTCTAGTATTAGGATAGCAGAAATGAGGAAATTAGACTTCAGCAATGTTATTATTGCTATAAAGTTTTGAACCACCACAGCCTTCTCACTGTTGTATAACTAGAGACACGCCTGAAGGACAGAGATGCCAAGAAGTCAAAAGAACCCTGGAAGCACTGCAATGGGACCAGCGCCCTCCCCATGGGATAACACTGCCCCCATTTTGTCCTTTGCAAGGCTAGAGGCCCAGTTCCTCAGCTCCAATTCCATCATTTGTAAAGTATTTCAGTTAGACTCAGAACTTTCTGCAGCAAATAGTCCTAAAGCTTGAAATGGATGGCTGAGGCGGGTTGTGAAATCTCCTTCTGTGCAAGTCTTTTCAAGGGCATTTCTAGATGTAGACTTGCTTAGAAGCACTGGGTGGACATGCTGGCTGCTCCCTCCCAACGCTGAGATTCCGAGGAAGCAGGAGGAGTTTCTTCCTTTTAAGGTATTTCCTCTTCCATCTGAAAGTGATTGGTGATGGACTCAGGTGTCACCAGGCCACAGCAGTGGGTGGTGGAGGCGCTCCACCTGCTGAATCAAGGGAGGAGGCTTCCAGGAGGGGAACCGCTTTGAGGTGCCTCATGAAAGAAGCCTGGAAGGTGGCTTTGGTTGGCTGGTAGGTGGATGTGGGGGGATGGGCTCAGTGGGGACTGGCAGGCTGGGCATGCCTAGTCTGAAGAGAGGCCTTATGCCCCAGCTCCATAAGGATCCTTTTCTGGAAGCCACACCTGCCAGCTATTCTTACCTCCTAAAACTTGCAAGGGATGGGGTAGCAGCTGCAGCTAGTCACTGCCCACCCTCCCCTGTTATAGGGAGAAATGTTGCATCAAGAAGCTGTGAGCTAGACTGGAGATCAGAATAGGATGGGAGATGAGTGACTGAAGGGGTTCATAGCATCCTTTTCTTTAAAGGACTTTTAAAGAGGTTCCTCTGCTTCCAGGTCCCCCCTCGACCACAGTGGTGGATATGATGGCCTTTGGGGGGTCTCTTGTCAGTTTGCATATGACACATAGGCTCTCTGGGGCACCAGGATATGCCCTTTTGTGCAACTGGATCTGGAGTTGGAAGGAGCCAGACCCCAGAAGACAGGGGTTGAATAGAGGTAAGCCATTTGATGGACACAAATGGCAGAGCTGCAGTGAGGGGCCTGGGGGGAGCTCTGGCAGCAGTCCTTTGCCCATGGATGGTCCTCACTGGCCCACCCCAGACCTCCGTCCTTGAGGGCAGAAGTCCTTGCCTCTTTCGTTCAGCCCAGGGGCTGGTGGGCATGGGGCAGGGGTGTGAGGGCTACAGCTGGCCCTGGAAGGACAATGCTTCCTTTGGATTCTTCCCCTGAGAAGGTCTTTTCAGTCCTTGGATTCTTGGGACCCCCAGAGACTCTACTGTCCAGGCATTTGGAGGGAGCAGCCCCCCAAGGCAGGGAGGGGACTGGGGCCCCTGCTCATGGGGATCAAAAGACCAGTCAAGCAGCACGGACTGAGAATTCAACCAAATAAATATCTTCTGACTCAACTCAATACCTCTGTCTGGGGAGGGTGGTTCTATGCATGGGAAGTAATCTGGGTTCAGCCTGGTTGGAGAGACAGGACTTTCTCAGCGTGTCCTGGTCTCTCCTTCCTCTGGGCAGCCCAGCCCCTCCCACAGATTTCTTTCATTTGCTGTTCATACCAAATTCAAATAATTGACTCACTGGATGTTTTCCATACACCCACCCGCCTGTGGGATCAGCCCCCTGTTTGGAGCTTGGCACATGGTAGGCTGCTTGAGAAATCTGTGGGGACGAGTAAATAGTTGACAATACTGGGTGATCTGAGCTAACGCCTCTGAGTAGGACAGACAGGGATGTCACAGGGGTGCAGAAGAGGGGGCCGTCCCCGCGGGCCTGGGTCAGAGGGAGAGCCTCCTAGAAGAGACAGATTAGCCTTGTGTTCCATTGCCCAGAAGTCGTGGAACCTGTGTCCTCCCTCAGGGCAAAGGAAAGTGACATTCCCCAGCATCCGTCTGTCTAGCGTCCCTCCTGGAATCAGTTCCCCTACCCCAGTCACCTGCAATCGCCTGTGATGTCCGGGAGCCGCTCACACTGGCTTGGAGGGGCCAATTGTGTCTTTTCCCAACACACTTCCTAAGTTGGTAGCTTGAAGGTGGTCAGGGTGGGAGAAATTGGCAAATGCCACAAAGCAGCGCTTCCTCACCCTGGAAGAGCCAGTTGCTAAACTGTATCAGCCACTCACCTTCTCCCAGCCACGTCTTCTTGCCTTTCTCGGCCCTGCTCTTACCTCTCTCTTTGCCACCTATCTTCCTTCCTCCCTTCTTCCCTTCCTTTTTTTTCAATCGTTTTATGCAATCCACCAGCTAGCTACTCATCCACCCACCCATTAATCTACCCATCACCCACACATGCATTAGCCATTCGGTCATCTGTTTCCCCATTTGGATCCATCTAACTTTTATTTCTTCCATACATCCACTCACCCACCCCTTCACCCATTCTCATCCATCTGTCCACCCATTATCCACCCATTTATCCATTTCCCTACTCTGATCTATCTAACGTTTGTCTCTTCCATACATCCACCCGCCTGCCCACCCACTCACAGGTGTCCCGTCTATGTCAGCCTATTCCCAAGGGCCAGACTCTTTCCCCAGACTTCTAGAAGCAAGGTGCCTGAACTCCAAGGACTAGCAGAGGCCTCCCAGCATGCACCCTGCTTGGCCTCTGTAACCAGAACCCTTTGGTTTTCCGTATCTGCTCCTTTTGCCCTCGCTGCTCTTTAGCCTGTTCTCACAGGGGAGGGGGATGCTCCCAGGGGAAGAGGGGGGCACGTCCCCTGCTAACAGACCAGGACCACACTGCTCTTTCTTTACCTGCTCCTCCATGCCTCATGCAAGAGCCCAGTGGAACCGGGCCTGGCTTTTGGAGAAAGGGTTCCCCACCCCAGAAGGCCCCATAAGCTCTCAGCCAAATTACCAATGAGTTCAAACAGGAGGGGGCTCCTGTGGGGCCTGAGAACGGAGACACCGTCAGGTAAGAGGGAATCCGCATCGCCGAGCCAGCACTCTCCACCCGTAATGCCACCCACACCTCCTTTCAAAGCTCTGGCTGCTTTGGGAACCGAGCTTGTCTCTGCTCTTGTTCCCAGGGGCTGTTATTGCAAAGGATGAGCTGTTCAGCCTGCTGAGCCGAAGGGCGGGGCTTCCGGAGCTTGACCTGGATTCAAGGGGAAGGAAGGGAAGCCCACTTACCTACAGGCAGCCCAGAACCTGCCACCCAGCCTCACCTACCTTCTCCTCTGTCCACGTCCAGCCCAGCCTGCAAGAGGCACAGTCCTTAGTAGGATGGAGGTGTTGGCTTCCCAGGACCATGGCTGTGGGTCACAATCCAGAAGTGACTGAGTGGCATGTCCTGGCAAAGGGTGGGGGTCCCCAGTGTTCCTACAGGTGGTCAGAGAGGGAGCAGCTGGAGTAGTTTCCTCACATTTCTCCCTGAGGTCTGTATGTACATGACAGACATTCAAACAGCTCATTTCTGAGAATATCTGGGCACCACACTTCACCGGCCTCCTTCTGGAGGCTACTGCCTGTGGCCCAGCCCAGAGAGGGCAGGCAGATTTTTTTCTGAGTCCCATAGAAAACCTACTACAGAGACAGATGAGAGTGAAGTGTTTGGGCCCTGAGGACCGAGCCACCTGGCCTGGCACTGTTTGCACTCCTTCAGCACTATTTTTCTGTCCTTTGGATCCAAGCATGTCCTGACCTGCTCTCATAGAAATAATAGACAGGCCGTCTGCATTTGCTAGGGCTGCTGGAACAGCAGTGACTTTCCGAAGCCCTCTTCCCCTGAGATACTTAGGTGGCTCTAGGACACCCTAGCTGAGGAAGGAACTTTAGCCTCTCAAAGGCCTCAGGTTCAAATTGCAGCCCTGCCACCTGACTTAGGCCAACAGGTTGTCCATCATCCTGTCTGCTAAATAGGAATCATTGAACAGATTGTTGTGAGAATTAAACGAGCTCACATGTTTGGCAAGTCAGGAGGTTTCAATAATCAGTAGCCACTTCACTCTAAATCCTAAAATCCAAACCAAACTGAACCTGTCCTTCCCCTTAAGGTGAGGAACAGGTCCACTGGGGGAAGCCCTCCTCCGCAATCCAGGCTCACAGATTAGAAGGCTATCTGGCTTGTGTGGCCCAGTTAAGAGTCCTCTGTCTTGTGGACACCTCACCTTTGACCCCCAGGATCCCCCAGCTCAGCGAAGCCTGCCCACCGGTGGGGAGTGAGGCTCCCCACTTTCTTGATGAGAAGAAAATGCGTCAGAAAGAAGCAGCCCAACTGGTTGTTGAGCTGTGGAAAATAATTAAACTGGGGGAGAAAAAAACAGTTCTTTTAAAAATCAGGTTAGGTATGAATGTGCAGGGCGTGGCCCTCCTGTATAATAGGCGCTCTGCTGGCGCGGGAGGCTTGCTTGTCCCAGGCCCGTTGTGTCAGGCTTGCGCCTGCTGTCTCTCCTCCCCCTGTTCCCTGCAGGTGTGTCTCTGGCTTCTGGCTGCCTGTTCCACTTCAGCCAGGACGCCCGCCTGAGAGGTCGCCCACGGTGCAGCCCCAGCGAGCCCGAAACACACCAGCCGAGTGACCCGCGATGGAAGCCGCAGATGCTTCCAGGAGCCCCGGGGCCAGCCCGGAGTCCAGGGATGGCCGCAGCCCTCCGCGCACCAACGGCAGCCTGGAGAACGGGGTCAAGGCCGAAGGCAAAGAGGCCAAGACCACCAATGGGCACGGCGGGGAGGCAGCCGAGGGCAAGGGCCTGGTCAGCGCCCTGAAGTCCGGCGAGGGAAAGAGCGCCCTGTTCTCGGGGAACGAGTGGCGGCGGCCCATCATCCAGTTTGTGGAGTCCGTGGATGACAAGAGCTCCAGCTACTTCAGCATGGACTCTGGGGACGGCAAGAGGACACCCTACGCTGGGCTGCAGCTGGGCGCTGCCAAGAAGCCGCCCGTCACCTTTGCCGAGAAGGGGGAGCTGCGCAAGTCCATCTTCTCAGAGGCGCGGAGGCCCGAGCCCGGGGAGGCCCGGCGCAACAGCTACCCGCGGGCCGACACCGGCATCCTGTTGCGCTCCAAGTCGGCCTCCGAGGAGGTCCTGTGCGACTCCTGCATCGGCAACAAGCAGAGGGCCGTCAAGTCCTGCCTCGTGTGCCAGGCCTCCTTCTGCGAGCTGCACCTGAAGCCGCACCTGGAGGGCGCCGCCTTCCGCGACCACCAGTTGCTCGAGCCCATCCGGGACTTCGAGGCCCGCAAGTGCCCCCTGCATGGCAAGACCATGGAGCTCTTCTGCCAGTCGGACCAGACCTGCATCTGCTACCTCTGCATGTTCCAGGAGCACAAGAACCACAGCACGGTGACGGTGGAAGAGGCCAAGGCCGAGAAGGAGGTAATTTGCTGGGGCCCCTCCCTGCCACCCCCACCCTGTCTGATCTTCTCCCCTGGGAGATCCTAGGGCTTGGGGCTCATTCTCTGCTCTCCCTGGCTCTTCGGAAAACATGTGCTGCCCCATCCACTCCCCGAGACTGGGGGTCGGAGGCAATTCCCCAATCCTGTCCAGCCTCAGGAGACGGGGCGTTTCTAGATGAGCAAACAGAGGTTCAGAAAAGACTGGGGGCTTGACAAGGTCAGAAGATAAATCCCAGTCAGATCAGGCAATCAGCACTCCATCCTCTGCTGTGCCTGGCGAGGTTGTTTCTTCATTTTATTTAAGGGTGAGAGAATTCTTCCCACCTGGTTAGGACTGGCCCCCTGGGAAATGAATGCGTCATGGGTGGGGAGGAGGGAATTTGGGGGGCCGCTTTAATGTCTGGCTTTGGAGTTTGCATTCACCATCTGGTGGCTTCTTGCTCCTCTGATCCCTCAGCTGGTCTCTTGACGCCCCCAGTGGCTTCCTTTATCCTCCGCTCAGCTATGCTCTGCGTGCTGTGTGTGTGTGTGTTTGCGTGTGGACAAGCCTGTGCCTGTCGGCGGACACTGCTGGTGAGGACTGAAGCTGGTGTGTGGGTGGGGTGTCCATGTATATGTGTGTGCCTTTCATGTGTGTGTGGGTGTTCATGTATGTGGATGTTTGCATATACTTGCATATGTGATGGGTAAGCATGTTTGCATGAGTTTTGTGTATGTGATTGTGCGTGTTCTGTGAGGAGGAGAGGAGGCGTGTGGAGGCTTGCGAAAGTGGTACACCTGGGGAGGTGTTCTGGGCCAAAGGCATGGCTGTGTCTGCTAAGCCTCGCCCCGCAGGTGCTGGGCCCACTCTCCCTACCCAGCTCCCCAGCTCCCTGCCGTGAGTGGCCTCCCACAGGCGTGAACCTCCTGGTGGTCAATGCAGAGGACCTGACTTTCCTCCAAAGCTTCTGTACCCCTCAGACTGGGGCAGCACAGGACCCCCTCCCTATCCAGCCTTCCTGACCAGGAGTTTGTTGATTAGTCTCTCCCTGCACCCTATGAACCACCCCTGGGCAAGAAGGGATGAGTTAGAGATGGGAACAGACTCAGAGATCCTTTACAGAAGCCTCATTTGGCCCAGGAAGGTGTTCCCAGGTCCCCCTGCTCTCCAAACCCCAATCTGACTTTGAGCTTCATACTGTGAGAGGGAGGCCCAGCACGTGGGAGCTTACTTGGGAAATCAAAATGGAACAAGGGCCAAAAATCTTCATCCACGGCAACCAAGCAATTGCAGAGCCTCAGTCTGGGTTCTAGGAGACCTGACTGAGTTCCAGTCCTGCTTTCGGTCTCTAATTAGCCATCAGACTATGGACAAGTCCCTTCCACTCTCTCAGTCTCGGTTTCCTGAGAAACTGAGGGAAAACACAGGGCTGGACTAGAATGATGGTTTTCAAATTGCCCCATGGGGTGCCCGGATACTGGGAGATGTCTTTGAGGCCTCAGAGATGAGGAAGAGGGCAAATTGGTGCCAAGAAGGCAGGGGCTTCGGGTTCCCACCACAGCTATAGGCAGCACACACCCCTGTTTATCTGTCTTCTGTATAGAGTTTGGCCCCACATTTCATCTGGAACTGGGATATCACCACTTAAGAAAAGCCCAGAGCCCCTGGAGGGCAGGAGGGTCTCAGGCAGCCCTCTCTGGAGGCTCCAGGAACTCGGAGTCCACATCCCAGCACAAGGATGCTGTAGGACTCAAAGACACAGACCTTGAGGGCTCAGGATGTAGGTCAGGAGGCGGAGCTCAGACAGCAACAAGCCTGAGAGCATCCGCCCAGTGACACAGAAGCAGCTGTAGGAAAACCCCCAATTGTAGAGGGTGGAAGGCCAGGCTGCGTGGAGGATTAGCGAGTTCATGGCTCTCCTTGTCCACCCTGCAGAGAGGAAGCACACCAGAGAAAGGAAGAGACCTGTCCAAGCCCAAAGAGATAGAGAGAGAGGTCCCTAAGGTCTCTTCCAATGTTTGAGAGCAGCTCAGGGGCAGGGCCCTAAGCGGTTGGGATTGAGATTATGTGCCCTTTACAGGGGATTGTGGGGGAAAATGTTTTTTCTGGGAGCTTTAGACAGTGTGTGTGTGTGCGTGTGTACAAGCAGCATGGGGTGGGCTGAGCAGACAGGAGACGGAGCTGGAGCAGAGCAGTTTGTCTAGGCTTGGCTCTGCTGAAATGTCAGACTTGGGGGACATTGTCCCAGAGCAGGGTTAGTGGGTTGATGGGTTGTAATGAATAAGCACGTCAGTCCTGGCGTCCTTTGGAGGCATCCCCTGCAGACCCGACGCCAGCCCACACACAGCTTTTTGCAAGAAGCCCTGTCCGGAACCTGTTCTACAGGCCAGTTGGTGAAGGCCCAGGTGAGGTCATCTCACACCTGTCTTGGTTGGTTGCATGAGGCTGTAAATGACGTCCGGAGCTGTGGGTGCTCATCTCCTGGGCCTCAACTCTACTTATGTACTCCAAGCAGAGTCAGTGTTAGAGAAAGGCCACACTTGGTGGGGCCACGTGACAGTCAGTCCTCTGGTGGACCTGAAGTCAGAATGTTTCTAATTCTACTCCTGTGTCAGTAGGGGTCCCACAGATGTTGTCCCTCTGTCTGGCCATTTCCCAGGCTGGATTAGGCTGATGAGATTAAAATGAACATACCCATACTTTCCTGTGTCTCGTGACCTTTCCTTCTGTCTACCCTAAGTCTCTTGCTGCATCCGATCAGGATGGAGGACTCCCCCTGGCCGGTGGCAGCCTGCCTGACCTCTGCACCTACCAGGGCCCTGCCACCATGGGTTCAGGCTCTGGGCTGGCTGCCTGGCGAGGTGCGTGGAGGAGCTCTCAGCCCTAGCTCTGCCCTGCAGGCATGAGCTCCTGGCTGGGTGGCATAGCCTGACCAGGCCTCAGCTAGTATCCTGAGTCCTTCATGCTCTGTTCACCAATCTCACTGTGGCCCATAGCTTTGCTTCTTATATAACTGCCTCCCATGAAGGCTGAGCTGCCCGGGCTGCTGGGCATTGCAGCCACTGGCCCTCATGCTTTTGGAGCTGTGCTGGTGTGGCGTGAAAAGCAGAGCCCTTTGGGCAGACAGCTGTGGCTGGGATTCAGGAAGAGAAGCCAGGCTAAAGGTCTGGGGGGGGGGCACTGGGGGTACTGGGACTGCCCTTCCCCAAGGTCTTGGGGAAAACTCCTGCTTGGGGACAAGGTGGGTGAGAAAGGACATGGGTGACCTCTATGGGTGCTGAGGGGGGGCCAGCAAAATAAAAGGTTTACAGACAGTAGGCAGGGAACGAAAGCAGCAGGCAGGCAGCCAGAGACACGCCAGTCTTCGCAGAGCACGTCTACATGCCAGGTGTGTACATGGCTGCTCCTGACAACAGTCCCGTGGGTGGGGGTCACTGCACCTAGTTTACAGATGAAGAAACAAGCTCAGGGATGCCAGGAAACTTGCCCGAAGTTACGGTGTGGGGGTGGTAAAGCTGGGATTCAGACTTTCAGCATGGCCACAGCCAGCCTGCTTCTCTTCATCGCTTAAAACTTGGTTTTCATAGGAGTGACAGGTTCTCCTTGGGGTCACTAAGTCCCGTGGCCCCTAACAGCCTCCTTAGGCCGGAATCGCCTGGTAAGTTGTTCAGACACAGATTCCCAGGCCTTACCTATCTGATTCAGGGGGTTGAAGTTTGAGACCTATATTTTTATTTTTAAGGTTCCCTTAGGGATTCTAATGTGTGGCCAGGTTGGGAATTAGAGTCTCGTTCAACATCACCAGGAAGAAACCGAGGTCCAGGGAGGCGGGTGACTTCCTCAAGGGTCACTGCTGGTGCAGAGATGGCCCGGGGATGCCACCCCATTTCGCCCTTTCCCTGTCCTGACACCTGAGGAAGCAGAAAAAGCAGTAAGCCCCCATCAGGCAGGCTAACACAGGGCTGTTGGACAGCTGGGTGAGTGGAGCTATCTAGCCAGCATTTCAGATTCTTATCCACATAATTACCATTTGTCTGAGAGTACAAATTTGGCAATTAACTGGCTCATTAGGAAAATGTCACAGCCAGAGGCCCATGTGGTTAACTCAGGCCGGGGGAAGATGGCAGCCCCATCTCCCTTTCCTGGGGGCCAGTGCGGGTCCCCAGGTCCAGGTGAATGCTCAGGTGTGTCTGCACCCAGCGGCCCCATCCAGGCCCAGGCACCAGCTGCTGTGCCCCCTCTGCTCTCCGGGAACCTCGGCTCCCCCAGGCCGGGAGGATTTCAAGGCTGGGCGGCCTACACGGGGCCTGTCCCAGGTAGCAGAGCAAAAGGCAACCTGGCAAGTGTGGAAGAAGGGAACAAAGGAGGCATTTAGGATCAGGCCTGGGCAGGGTGGAGGGAATGAAACGGGGAGTAGGAGGAAGTGGGGAGGGAGGGGTAGACGGGGTGGAGCTGTGGGGTGCTGAGGCCCCACCAGGCATCAGGGATTTAATCAGATTCCAAAGGAGGAAGGAGAGAGAGAGAGAGAAAGCTGGGGCTCAAGGGCTGAGGACAGGGTGTGGGGAGGAAAAAGCAGGAGGTGGACTCCCCCAGTTGCACCATCTGTGCGGAGGGGAGTTAAGTTGGCAAGCAGGAAGGGGAAGGGCAGCGTCTGAGGACACTCGGGGGACAGCCTAGAGGTTAAGAGACCACATGATAGCATCAGCGTCCTGCTGGCGCTCGGCTTGGCACCCTCCAGCTGTGACAACTCAGGGAAGCTATGTGACCTTTCCAGGCCTTGGCTTCTGTATCTGTAAAATAGGTTAACAGCAAGTACCTGCACAGGGGGCCTTTGCAAGTTACAGAGGGAATGCCTGGCACATAGTAGGCGATCAATAATACAGTTAGGGTCCCTCCTCTTAGTGTTACAAAAGAATCCAGTATATTTGGAGCCTTCCTATGTGAGATTGTCTCCTCTATCCTGCCTTCTCCAGTGGGGGAAAAATTGCCAAGAGCTAAACATGTTGGATGTATCTGCAGAGGTCCCACCTCAAACCCCCCTCATCCCAGGGGTGAGGAAGGACCAGTCTATCAGCAGAGGTCCCGGTCCAACGTCCCTTCCATGCTCTTACTGTGACCCGCAAGTCTGGTCTTGCAAGGCGCGCTGTGGAAGCAGGGCCACCTCTCAGCCGGTGTCCGACTTCCCCAGTGCCCCGAAGAAAGAAGGAACCCCGTCTCTCCTCCGTCCTGACAATTCTCCCGCCCACTGCTGCAGACAGCGCGTCTCCATGTCCCACCCTGCCCTCACAGTTCCCAGCTCAGCTGCCGCTGCCTCCTCCCCTCCCAGGTCACTGGCCGTCACCTCTGTCTGCTGCCCACCTCCACCTGCCCTTGCCCCCTTCCCGCCCACACACAGGATGGACTCCCAGGGGCTGAATCCCCCGCCCTGGGCCTGGGCTCTTCCCTCCTCCTCTGGACTTGATATCTTCTTCGTGCCTCTTGGCCTGTGAATTCATGCTCCTCTGGGTGAGACCTTTCCTCGCCTGCAGGCCCTGACCCGTCCTCACCCCCTCCAGCCCCCAGCCCACCCCCTGAGCACCTCTGTGTCCCTCTCCCCTGGCCTTCAACTTCTCTGCCAAAACTTCTACTTGCAGGCAGTCAGCCACTTTATCCCCTTTTTCCTGTGTCTACTCTGCTTTCCCCAATATCCTCCAAGCTCAATTAGTCACAATTTAAGCCTCTATTTTGCACCCTCAGTCTAATGTCTTGACCTCCCAGCCTCTCTACGCACACTCTAATCTGTATCCCGACAGTGTACACACTACACCTGGATCCCAACAGGACAGCATGCCCCGCCCTCACTGCTGAGCCCCTCCAAGCCCTCACCTGGTCACACCTGCCCCACCCCTCACCCACCTGTGCCCTGCTGGCCTAGTTGCCACACTGCACTCATTCTCCCAAGCCTGGTGTAAGTGACAGCAACCAGGATTGCCTCCCAGTCCAGGAGACACCCTGCACACAGTGATGCCGGGACCACCGGTCAGGGCTTCCTCTGTGTCAGGCACTTTCTGAGAGATTTACTGTCCAGATCCCAGTGTGCCCTGAAACCTCCCAGAGAGACGGGCCTCTTACTCTGTCTGTGAAAGATGGAGCAACTAAGGGACCAAGAAGTTAGGTAACTTGGGAAGGCCACTTGCCTGCAGATGGTGGTGACTGGGCGCACACCTCTGGACCCCTGGTGCTGAGCTCTGGATGGGCCCCCTCCTGGATCCCCCACGCTCACCCGATGGAAGGGCTGTCCTCTCCCGACCCCAGGCCTACATGCGTTTTTGTTCTCTGCTCTCCTGTCCATCAGACCTGCTTCTGGGAGAGGTGAGATGGAGTGAGAAACCTGAGTGCCAGATCTTGAGCTGGGTTAGGAAGGCCCAGATGCAGTGGGTCAGCTGCCTCCAGGCCAATCTCAGGAGCTCTCCAGGGATGGGAAAATTGCCCCGCATGCACCCACTGCCCAGCCTTTTGGTCTCTTCCTCATGCCTTGGATCTGTTTACCAGGCTCAGACTTCTCAGGGGCCTTCCAGGCCGCCAGAGCGGCCTCCCTCTGTGCTCTGGGCTCTGCATCATCAGAGAGCCTCAGGACCAAGTGTCCGCCGTCCACAATGGGATCTTGCTTCTTTGCTCTCCCCCTTCCCGCCACTGTGTCTACCAGCAGCTGGCTTCTCCCCAACCATTTTCCAGAGACTTCATCTCCACCCTCCTCTCCTTTCATTCCTCTGCCTTTGACAGACAGTGTCCATCACAGGTGATGACATTTTCTACCTTGTGGGGCTTCCAGCCCATTGCCGGTGGGGCTGATGCTTACAGAGGAGAACTTCTGAGTCTCCTGGCCTGGACCTCCCAGCAGTGTGGGCAGAGGGGGTGCGGGTGGATCAGGAGCCTCCTCCACTGTCTCCACCAGCTCCCTGGCCCTCCCAAGAAAGCCAGGAAGGGTCTCCCCACTATCAGGCCGCTTCCCCAGGGGTCTGCAGCAGGGAGCCCACCGGCACCCGCCCTGGCCTGGAGGAGTGCTCAGGAGGCGTGAGGCATGGTGACGCCTGTGCCCGGCTCGGACTCCTTGCCCACAGAGCTCATATTCCTGGTGGTCTGGGGCCTCTCATCTAATCTTGTGGGCCCCTCAAAGAGACGGTGGGAGAGTGGGGTGGGACTTGGTGTTCAAAACCCAGCATAATGGGGAGAGTCCGAGGACTCTGCCTGTCAGGTGCAGGCCACCGCCAGTCTTCCAGGTCGGAAGGTGCTTTGAGAGCATCAACAACGAGCCCTAAGGTGCCACTTGGCTTGGCTGAACTGGAGTGAGTTTCATGCCTGTCCTTTTGTTTCTGTTGTAGCTGCTTTTCAGATGAGAGCATTTCCCCAAATCAGAGGAAAATATTATTCATACTTTGTACATCCATCAGAGCTCACATCCTAGCGCGCTCCTGATAGATCCTCCTCCCAGCCACCCCCAGCCCCAGTACCCCAGGGATTGCTGGAGCCTCTGCTCCTCTCTCATCCACCCTTCACCACTTCACTCACTCGCATCTCTCCTCCCCCAAGGCCTCTGAACAGGGTTCCTATCTTGCCCCGACTGCAGACTGCATTCTCTTTCACATAAACAGGTTTATAGCTGTGCCTGCCCAGACGGAGTCCCCGCCAGCGGCAGCCCAGGCTCCTGCTTGCAACACACGCCCCACATCTTGCCACAGAAATGCTGTGCCGTGTTCCTGAGACAGGACACTCCCTGGGCTGGGCTGAGCCGAGCTGGGCTGGGTCCCCTTTACCCCTAAGCTTGAAAGAGGCAGGAGTTTCCTTCCTTCTCCCTCAGGTCCATTGGAAGGAGTGGGAACCCCATAGATGAGCTTCCCTCCTGCCCACACTGGGTGGGGCAGCCTGGCAGAGGTTTGGCCCTTATAAAGACACGCCTGGGATGTCCAGCCCCAAGAGGCCTGAGTTTACAGTGAGATGGGTGTGACTCGTTGCTGGATCCTTGGTGACTGGCATGGTGCCTAGATTATCTGAGGTCTGATAAGTGTTGGCCGAATGAAGGGATGAGTGGTGAGCCCTGCCCAAGTTTGCTCTCCGATTCTCCGGTTCTCTTCGACCTCCCCCACCTGACTTCTCCTCCAACCTCACTCCCTCCCTGCAGACAGAGCTGTCACTGCAGAAGGAGCAGCTGCAACTCAAGATCATTGAGATTGAGGATGAAGTTGAGAAGTGGCACAAGGAGAAGGACCGCATCAAGGTGAGCGGCGCCCAGCCCTCTGCCTTGCTGAGCTCTCAGGTGCAGCCTGGGTGGAGGCAGGTCTCAGCTCCTGGTCAAGGTCTCAGACCCACATTTGCAACCCACACTCATTCTAGGTTCTCCCACCCGCTTTGGCATTCCCACCCATCCCCTTCTAAGGGTGGGCCAGGCACCCAGGTGGGATCTTGCCCATTATCTGATGCTCATTTTACATCGTCCCAGAAAATAAAGACCTTAAATCTGCCTGTCCTCCAATGTGTCTCCCAGTGCCCTTCAATGTCTGCTCTCCCACCAGACATGTCATTTTTCCTTGACTTGTTCCAGCGTGGTGAGAATTATGTCTGCCAGACTTTGAGTAATTGCAAACCACAGTTGAAATCATTGACTCGTGATGCTGGCTCCACAAACAGCTCGTGATTTCACTTTCTGAATGATGTTTGGTTACAGACGAGGTTTCAGTGCTCACACCATGATTCAGGGGGGGGATCTTCTGGGCCCATAGAGTTGCCCAAGGGTGGAATTACGTCTCCAAGGGGAAGGAGCCATAAGGAAGGATGGACTGCAAACAAACCTGGCCAGCTCTATCTGTAGATGGCATCCCTCAAGGACACCTCTGAGTGAGATTCTTGGCCAAACAGGTTTGCTGGGTTAAGGCAGTAGAAATGCCCTGACTCTGTGCTGGGAACCTAAAGATGCAGCCCGCTAGGGAGGTTTTTAGTTGCTGACCCTCCCTCCTCTCTCCCGTCGCTCTGGACCTAGAGCTTCACCACCAATGAGAAGGCTATCCTGGAGCAGAACTTCCGGGACCTGGTGAGGGATCTGGAGAAGCAGAAGGAGGAAGTGAGGGCTGCCCTGGAGCAGCGGGAGCAGGATGCTGTAGACCAGGTGAAAGTGATCGTGGATGCTCTGGACGAGAGGGCCAAGGCGCTGCAGGAGGACAAGCAGACCAGGGAGCAGATGCACAGCATCAGTGACTCAGTGCTGTTTCTGCAGGTAACACGCAGCTCCTCCACCAGGCAGTCCCTCAGTCCTTTCACCCACTTTTCTAGACCCTCATCCAATTCTCATGGTCCATCCATTTGCCTATACACCATTCATCATCCGTCTGTTCATCCATCTATCCATCCATCCATCCACCCATCCATCCATCCAAGTTCCACTCCATCTGTCTAGTTTTTCCATCCAAACCATTTCCCCACCTTACTCTAAAGATGGCACGCAACGATCACTTATGCCAACTTCAGTTGTACTAACAATGCCTCAGAACACTCATGCTCTCCCCATTCGACTGGGTTTTGAACACCAAGTCCCACCCCTCTCTCCCACCATCTCTTTGAGGGGCCCACAAGATTAGATTTGTACTAACAGTGCTCCAGGCTCAGTAGCAAAGAGTTCTATTCTGTGATTGATAAGCAATGTCTGCTTTGGGTATGGATCAGAGGTATGGAAGTGATGCATATTTGTTATCCTTGATCTTATCTGTCTATCTGTCTGGTCACCCATCCATCTTTCTGTCTGCTAGAGCCTTTGGGCACTACTGCATGATCAGTACTCTACTAGGTGCTGTGGAGAATAGAGAAGCACAAGACATAGTTTTTGCCCCTAAGGAACTACAATCCAGCTGGGAAGATAAGACGTGCACAATTAGAGAACAATATAGAAGAGTGTGTAATTAACCGATAGAGCACGTGGTTCAGGAGATAAGTGCCTGTGGAAGCTCTGAGAGGGGCAAGCAGGCCGGAGTGATCCAAGGCAGCCTTGTGGACGAGGTGGAGCTGGAACTGGGCGCTGAAGGCCCCGAGGATCTGAGAAGGAAGAGGGATTCCCAGTGAGGGGGCAGGGAAGGGGAAGTGCCGAAGGGTGGAGGCAGGACTGAGAGTGGCACATAAAGGTGGAGGTACCACCACGACTTACTCCGAGCACTCTAGTGATCCCTTGTGTTTTCTTTAGTGCTTTTGCTCAAGAAGGCATCACAGCTTGGGTCACCCCCATAAACCCCCATGGGGGAGGCAGATTGCATCAGGTTTAGAGGTAGGAACCATGGAGTCACATATCAGACCACTAGTGCCACTGGTGATGTTAGCATCTAGTGGACTTTAGTCAAATCTTTTCATTTTACAGAAAAAGGAGAGACTAGTGTTCAGTGAGAAAAAGTGGGGCTAGTTAATGACCAGGCTGTTTTAAGAACCCAGCTTCCCTGGCTCCTAGCACTGAGTCTTCTAGCTGGACCGTGAGAGGCCCTGCAGAGAAGGGACCACCCCCCTCCCCCCATGGCTCCAAAAGACACAGGCAATTAATGGCTTCTTTCCTTTCTTGGTAGGAATTTGGTGCATTGATGAGCAATTATTCCCTCCCTCCACCTCTGCCCACCTATCATGTTCTGCTGGAGGGGGAGGGCCTAGGGCAGTCGCTCAGCAACTTCAAGGATGATCTCCTCAATGTGTGCATGCGCCACGTCGAGAAGATGTGCAAAGCAGACCTGAGCCGTAACTTCATTGAGAGGAACCACATAGAGAATGGTAGGTCTCCTCTTGTGGGCGGGCCCCTAGGCCAGGGCATTTTTCTCCCAGGTCAGTTCCTGCTGCCTGATGCAGGCTGGTGTCCAGCCAGCTGGTCCCTCATTTCCAGCTACCCAACCTACCTAAGGTGTTGGGACTAGGATTCAGGAATTATAGACCTGCAATGAACTTGTTGCCGAAGTTAGGCCCTCAGGGCAGGGAGCATCTGGGCATGGACTGCAGAAAGGCATCTTCTTTGTGGTCATCCATCAAGCTCAGGGATTGGCTTCCTTTAGATCAACATCTGATGGTGGGACCAGTCCAGTAGCTGCTGGGTGCTGACGCTTGGCAAGAGCCAGACTCCAAACCGGTGTCTTTGCAGACTCCAGTAGACGTGACCTACAACTGCTCTGTGGTTGGAGAGAGAACTTGCCTGTCGCCGTGGCTGTGCTAGGAGGTGTTGAGCCCAGAGGCTGGACCTGGCCTGGTGGGCTGGGCTGGGGACAGTGACTCACCTATTTCCTTGAAGTCAGCTTGTCTTCTGGGTCACGCCATCCTCTGCAAAGGCCAACTGAGTCATCTCACAGAAAGCCTCTCAACTGGAGCAAACGACCTCATTAAGTCCTTTCTCACTGGTCCCAGCCCAGTCCCTTTAGGGCCTGAAGCGGGGTGCTTTCCCTGAAAGTCCAGCCCTTGCAGATGCAGCCTGAATAATGCCTTCTGGCCCCAAACACCCAAAGGAAGGGATCCCCATCTTTGGTCTCCAGATGGGGAATGTGATTCTTTGGGGTGCAGAGCTGGGCTTTAGGGGGCTGTCTATATATCTTGGTCCTGGTGACATTACACAGTGTCCTGTGAAATGTAGGGGACATTTGAATCACACCCAAGGACCCTTTGCAGCAGGACAATCATTTGGCTTTAAGCAGCGCTCAGATCCTGATGTCCTCTTCCCAGTGATGGTGGTGATGCTGCTCACGGCGATGGCTCACGGGGACTGAGAGCTCCCTGTGTGCCCACTTTGTGAGAGCTCTTCACTCATGACATCTTCTTTCCCCTGTGGGATGTACTGCATTTCACAGATGAGAAGGTGGAGGCTCGGAGAGGTAGCTTTTCAAAGGGCACACAGCCAAGCAGGGGCTGCCACTGGGCTTCACTCTCTGCTGCTCAGCCACCTGTATCTTCTCATTGGGGAGGCTGCGGCTGCTGATGGCTGTGCAGAGGGACAGAGAGGGTGACGACCATGGTCCCTGGGGTACCTTCTCCTCCAACGTCTGGCAAGGCCTATGTGGATGACTTGACTGGGCTTGGGGGGGCCTGTGAGCGTCACAGGGCTCCCCACCTACTGCTGCCCACCTATGGTGCCATTTCTAGGTCATGATTGTGTTGGCTGTGGCCTCTGTGCAGGCAAGGCCCTGTGCCTTGTGCCAGGTGAGCAGGGAGGTGGCCTCCAGGAGCCGGGATGGGTGCTGCTGAGGTCAGCAGCCTGCACCTGTGTCGGGCCCCCTGGGCCCCCGACTTGGAGTTTTGTGGCCATTGCATTGTTATTGGGAGTGTGTCCAGCCGTAGGAGGCACAGGGTGGGTGGCTGGGAAGTCAGACCTCAGAGGGACCACCCTCTTCTCCCCGATGCCAGCCTGTCTACCAGAGCAGGGACTCATTCCCACCCTTCTAGGCCTGGGGGCTAAGAGGCACAGACCACCTTCAGCCTGGGCTTGGGGCGTGAGGAAGGGGGCTGGACCAGGTGCCGTGGAGGGCCTACTGGGTGCTGGGCCCCTGCTAGGTAGGTGCAGGTGGTGGGGATGAAGGAGGAGGGTCTGAGCCTCTCATTCACCCTCTCTGCCAGGGGAGAGGGAGAGAGAAGGTGGAGCAGTAGGAGATGGGCAAGTAGCAGTGAAAGGATAGGGCGGAGGGCGGCTGGGGGCCAGTGAGCATGCAGCCACGGATATGTTTGGGTTTGGGGTCAGCTGGTGGGCAGGGGTTGGGGGGGGCAGTCAGTGCCCCTCCTGAGCAGCTTGCTGCCCTCTGCACGCCTCCACCAAGCCAGCTGGATCCCTGGCTATGAAAACCAATGTTTGGGCCACCATCAGTGGAGCCCGGGAGTGGAGACAAGAGACCAAACCCCCAACCCTGCCCTTTATTGGCCATGTGACACTGGGTGAGTGACTTCACTTACCCATGAGCCTCAATTCCTTATCTGTCAGGTGGGGCTCTCCATAGCAGCCCAAGGGGGGATGTTCATATCAAATAAGAAATGGATATTAGTGGAACCTTATAAACAGCAGTGTGCTGAGCACATGGTCTTACCTACAGGGCGGGTCCAAGGGTGGGTGGGTGGGTCACTGCAGACCCTCTCTCACCCCCCAGAAGCTCAGCAGCTAAGGCTGCACTGGACAGGGTGTTACCTTCTCTGGGGTTGCCTCTCCTGGGACAGAGGGCCATGGGCTGACTCAGCCAAGCCCAGGGATGCGCCCAAGAGACCAGCTCCTCCTCCCCACCTGCCATCTTCTGACCCTACCTCTCTTTCCCAGGAGGCGACCATCGCTTCATGAACAACTACACGAACAGCTTTGGGGGCGAGTGGAGCCCGCCAGATCCCATGAAGAGATACTCCATGTACCTGGCGCCCAAGGGTAGGGGAGAGCGCCCTGCTGGTGAGGGCCATGGCCTGTGGGGAGCCTCAGCTAGTTTCCCCAAGGGCAGAGTGACCTTCCGGGATTTGTCTGGGAGGGTCCTGCCAACACCTGCTGTCCTGGTGGAATCGTTAACCAAAGCTGGTCTGAGAAGTGTCCTGGTTTAGCGAAAATCATCTGCAGCATCTGCCCCTCAAGGCTTCCCCCTGCCCACACCCTTTCCTCTCCTCCGAGAGGGTCTCCCGGTGCTTGTTTTATCAGCTCGCATCCAGCAGGCCCAGGCTGTTGGGCTTCTACTCGGGTTTTCCTAGCTCTGTGGGAGGACCGGCTCCTCCAGAGCCACTCTGCCCCTCGAGGGCAGGAGACTGGCCACTGGGCCCACTGCCATGCTCCGCTGCATGCCGCCTGACCTCAGCCCTCCCTCTCCCAGCCCTGGAGAGCCCAGACTGCGGGCGACAGCCTGCCAGGGTGGGGTACAGACCAGTGCATGCCTGCCCTTGCCCTGGGGTAGCCTGGCACATTCTTTGGTACCAGCAACAAGCCACAGCAAGGCCCGCTACCTAAGGGTGGGTGTGCCAGCATGGAGGGCTGGGCATGCACCTGGGGGCAGGAGAGGGGGAAAGGCACCTGCGAGGGCACAGAGGCTGGAGAGGGGGCTTTGAGGCCCTGATTCACACAGGCAGATGTACGGGCAAGGGGAGGGCCCAGGGGATTTGGAGAGATGAGCTCAGCGCTGAGGAACCTCCGCTGCCCCACCCAGTTTAGAAACAACACCTGGGCTTCTGGTGGGGGCCTGGTGAGGCAGCCGGGCACCTGGGACCCGCTGCTCCACATTCTTGGTGGGGGCCAGTTCTGCCCCCATCCCTTCCCAGGGTGCTGCCTTTGGGCTCAGTTCTGCGTGAGGGTGTGCGCGCTAAGCCTCCATCCCAGCATTCTCGCCCAGCCCAGTCCCTCGAGGAAGAGACCCCGATGTGGCATCGGGCACCCCACTGGTGCCTGCTTGGCTCCCCTGCTCTGCAGAATATCGGGGGAGTGGGGGCTCCACTGCAGGCCGTGAGGAGGGGGCCAGGAGCAATGGAGGGCAGTGCACAGACCCGCCCAGATGGCACCCCAAGGGCCAGGTGGCCTAGGGCTGGCCGCTGCCCCTCAGTAGCCCCGTCAGGGGAAGAGAGGAGCCGGACTCGCACGTGAGGAGAGCCCCCAGCTGTCACTGAGTCAGGCTGGGGCGTTTGCAGGCAGAGGAAACAGGTTCATCCGGTGGCCCTGCGCCTGCGACCCGGGCCAGGCCAGGCCGAGGAGGAAATCTGACCCCAGGGAGCTCCCAGGATCAGGAGGAGGCAAGGGAGGACTCAGGGGAGTCAGTGGGGAGACGGGAGACCGGCCACCAGACGGCTCTGCCTGTGGCTGGGGGCCCGGGGCTGCCACTCAGGCAGTGGGACTTCCCAGGGAGGTGGGTTTCCCGGCGTCCTGCGAGAGGGGCCGTGTGCCATGGCCGTGCTGGGTGGAGGGCCGTGGGGCCAGGGGAACCCCAGGCACGAAGGTGTAAAGGGAGAACCAGAGGTGCTGGGCCCGGGACCGGACCGGGAAGGCTGCCAGTGAGGTGGGAGGAGGGAGCTGTTGAGGGATCCTGACGCACATGGGGAGGGTGCCCCATCTGCAAAGAGGGTACGTGGCCCCGCTCTGCCGTCCTTGTGACACTGGGGTGCAATCCTGATGGAGGGACGGCAGCAGTGAGCACCCCTGTGGTGTAGGACTCCCCTGGTTGGTGGGCAGCTGGGAGAGGGCCCTGGGCCCCAGGGTAGTGGGCACCTCCAGGTGGCAAACCTGCACTTGGCGAAGGGCAAAAGGGTTCCTCCCACTGCTGGCATGGCCCTCCTTCCTCACAGGCACCTAGGTGCCCAGCCTCTGGGGTCTCAGTCATGCAGGGACTGGCCCAGGAGGGAAGTGTCAGCTTTTCCAGCCCCTAGTGGTCCTCAAAGCCCCCCAAGCAGGGTGACCCTGTGTCTTTGTCTGTTCAGGACCTTCCAGGTTTACACCTGATGCTCTTGGCATTATTATTGATAGCACTCCTTTCCCTCTCAAAAGTGCCAGGATTTGGACAGGAAGTTAAGTGACTGCTTTATCCTAGACCCAAAGGAGCTGCCCTGGGGTAGGTTCTGGGCCTGACAGGCAGTTAGGGACAGGCAGTGTTGGGGGCAAGGAGTCCTGCCTGACAGTCCTCGGTTCAGAGGCCCCGGGCCCCGAGAGCAGCCAGCGACCCCTTCCTGTGGTGATGGCCCCTCCTTGTCTGCTCTGCAGGTGGGGCCAGGACATCGTACCAGCCGGGGTCCCCCAGCCGCCTCTCCAAGGAGACCAACCAGAAGAACTTCAACAATCTCTATGGCACCAAAGGTAGAGGGCGGGCAGGGCCCACGGGGGCCGAGTGGGCAGCAGAGGGGCATGACTGAAGACACAGCGCTATCCTGGCTGGGACGTGGCCGGGCTGGGGAGATTCACGGAAATGGCCTCTTCCTGCCCACTGTCCCTGGCCGGGCTGCAGAGGTCTGACCCCCTTCCTCTGCCCCACCAGGAAACTACACCTCCCGGGTCTGGGAATACTCCTCCACTATTCAGAACTCTGACGAGCTGCCTGCGGTCCAAGGCAGCTCCTCCTTCTCCCTGAAAGGTGAGCCCTGCCCGCCCCTCCCTGCCTGCCCTGTTACCCACAGAGCGCTGGTCTCTGCCCCTCGCTCGCCAGCTCCTCACCTTGCCGGGGACAGAGCCCTGGCCTGATCCCCGGGGACCTGCTTCCATCCGTGTCTTTGCTGCCACATCAGCATTTCCTGGGGCTGGCCTCCCCACACCTTGGTCCCTAGAGATGAGCTGCAATGACAGTCCTCAGGGTGGGGATATGCCATTCTAGAATGCTGTGTCCTCATAGCACCCCCCAGCACACCCCTCCGCAGCACCCCAGTGTCCCCCAGAGCCAGGGTCTTGCTGAGCCCCTTTGGGACAGGTGGGACAGGATGACTGATGAGGCTCCCAAGTCTGACTCTGCTCCCCAGAACCCTGTCAAGGCTGAGTGGTCAAAACCTCTTGCCCCTGGGGTTGGGGTCATCCTGACGGGTAGGCCTGAGCCAAAACCCAGCTTACAGCGGGACCAGGGGCCCTCCCATCGCTCCTGAAGGGCCCTGGCACAGCTGCGGCGGGCTGTGCTGGGAGCAGCTCATCTTCCGGCTCCCAGGGCGTCGGGTCTGGAGGAAGGGCTAAGCAGGTTGGGTGGGCCCAGGGAGAGGCGGGCGAGAGGGCTTGGGTAAGGCAGGCAGACTCTCCAAGCAGTGGCCTCAGAAGGTGGCTTTCTTATCCGGATGTCCCTTCCAGGCTGGGGTCCCAGGGGTCTTGGAATGGCCAGCAGGTGAAGAAGGGAAAATGACCAGAGGGGCCCAGTGTGCAGGAGCCCCAGGGATGCACTCTTCCCAGGCCAGGCCGGGGAATCTCTGGGACTGGCCTTGGCCTGCCTGGCTTCCAGCAGGTCCCTCCTGCTCTCTGGTCCAGCCTGGAACAAAGGCCACCGGTCAGGGAAGGTGGCCACCCCCGGGTGTGATTGGGCACTCCCCGGTTTCTCCCATCAGCCTGCAGAGCCTCCCCTGGCGAAGGCCCTGCCCTAGGAAAGCTCCTCAAATATGCTGAGCCCCAGGGAACAGTGAAGGTGAACAGCATGTCATCCTCACACCGATCGGCTGGCTGGCAGTGGCCTGGGAGGTGGGGCTCTGGCCAGGGGCTGCCCTGTGTGCAAGGAGAAGCCCCCCCTGTGAGGACTGAGGCCCCCGAACCTGCTCCAGCAGCCCCAGACAGAGGCAGAGAGCACGCTCAGGGCTGCCAGGAGTGGGCAGTGCCCTGTGCTGAGGTGTGCCTCCCTCTGCCCCTCCTGGGACCAGCCCTGTGCTGCTAATGCCTCTCTCTCTCCCAGCAGGCATTAGGAAAGTCCCCTATCAGCTCACCACCTTGGGACAGACCACCACAAAGTTTTCCAAACCGCTGGACGGCAGTGGGCTGTTTAAAAATAATCCTGGTACCTGCTCCTTTCCCCTCCCTCCCTTTTTCTGTCTCACAGCAGGGCAGTGGGACATCCAATGGCGTTCTCTGCCACCTTTGGGGTGTGCTGGTCCCTCCTCCCAGAGGTCCTTGGAAGAAGGATGCATGTCCCCGCCACCATCCCTAGCTCCCCCATCCCCTGGACTTCTGCCTGCTGTGCAAGGCTTCTGTCCCCGACTACCTCCCACCCCATCCCGTCCTCACCTCTCTCATGGCTGGCATGGGATTTTCTTTCTGGGAACTGAGAATGGAGACCTGAATTCCCCCTCTCCCAGTCTCACACACAGGACCCCTGGAACCCTCTCTTTCCAAGGCTGCTCCACTGCTGGATGCAGGGAGAGACCCGGGTTCTCTGTTCTGTCTCTGCCCCTCTGCTAGGTGCCAATCGCAGGAAGGGTCAACCTCGTGGAAGCCTGCAGGTGGTTTCTGGGCCTAGCCAGCCCATCCTCCCTAGAGCAGGCCAGGCCAGGCCCCTAGGCTGCCCCAGTCAGGGACAGGTCCTGTTTATGTCTTCAGCTCCTCCATATCCAGGTCACAGCCTGCTCCTTCCCAGGCACCACTGTGTGTCCCTGCAGGCAGGTGGTGACACTGGGAGTACTTTCACAGCTCTGTGGACCAGAGTTCCTTACAGAGCCTGCTGGGCTGAGGGGAGAGGCAGGGGACGTGGGCCCGGGCAGGCCTGCCTTGGACGGGTGCCGTCAGGCCCAGGCCCAGACAGTGCCCGTGTGCGCTGGGCCTCTTGGGCTTGCTGTCTTAACCCTGGACGGCAGCCACACAGAAATTGCTGCCCGTCTGTGGGCCCCAGGAGGCAGCAGAAACTGGGCAAGAGGAACATGACACTGGCTTTTGGCATCCAGCAGGCCTGGGTTCACATCTTGGCTATTGCTTATTTGCTGTGCGGCTTGGAGCAAACTGCTGAGCTCACAGAAAGGGGATGAGGGTTAATGAGAATTCCCGGCACAGTGGTCAGTGAGGGGCACTGTCCAGGCCGCACTGAAATGAACACCTCCGGGTGGAAATCCTGGCCGTTCATGCTTGGGAAGCAGCTTTCCTGGGGTGCAGGAAGGGGAGGGGTCAGTGGGGTGAGCCTTCAGGGTGGATGGGGAACATCCCCTCAGAGTGGGGTGATCCTGACCTGGATCTGGGGGCAACACTCCCCTGCTGCCTGGCCCGGCCTATTCCCCCTCCTGTCTGCCTTGATGCCCCCCTTTGGCCAGCCTCCCCCGGATTTTCCACTGCAGCCCCCTGGCTGCTGCATGCCTCCTCAGGGGTGGCTGCACTTGCTAGTGGGCCAGATGGAGCTTGGTGGTGTCTCTGGAGATGGCGTCTGAGTGGCTCCGGCCCCCAGGGGCCCTGACCGGCAGCCTGCGCCCCCACTGACCGGAGCCTCTTGCCTCACAGGCTACCCCTCCCTCATGAGGAGCCAGAGCCCCAAGGCCCAGCCCCAGACTTGGAAGTCGGGCAAGCAGACTTTGCTGGTAAGTGGGGGGCACTGAGTGGGGCTCCCCAGCGGCAGCGGGTCCTCAGTTGCCTGGGGCCTGTGGGCAGATGGCCGTGGGGTGGAGGCAGCGGCAGTGGCCTGAATTCCTGCAAATGGCCAGGGGTAGAAAGACCCGGAGCTGATAGGCAGGGGCTGAGCAAGCACACACTTTCTAGGTCTCCGTTTTCTGACGTCTAAAGTGGGGAGCTATGGTTTTTTCATTGGCAAATGGTAGTTGGACACCTATGCGTGTTGAATGATGGCTTGGTCCCCACCAGCTCTGGGGGTATGAAATGCCTGGGGGCAGTTCTGCAGCTCTGACAGCATTGGGGTGATAGCATGGTGATGCAGGGGCTGCAAAATTGGGGAAAGATGCATTTAGGGTTCAGTATTTAATGACCCTTAACCGGGGACATGAAGAGTGGCATCAGAGGGAAGCCCGGCCTCGGGGTCCAGTCCCCTGCTGGCTGTCGGGCCCTGGGCTAGTCAGATACCCTTTTTGGGACTGTGTTTCTTCATCTGTGTAGTGCAGAGCTGAGATGAGGCGGTCCCCTCATACTCTAAAGACCTGATGCATGACTCTGGCCCACGACCTCAGCCATCAGTGGCTGCCCTTCACATGCTGTGCCCTGGAGCCAGGCCCTGCTGAAGGAGTCAGCCAACTGCCCTGGGATGTGGGTGGCAACAGGGGCCCTGCTGGGGACAGGGGCTGGAGCCCCGAGCTCCCTGCTGTCCTTGCATTTGGGGGTCAGAGCCTGGGAGGTGATCTGCGCTGGGCCACAGAGAGTGCTGGGGCTGGCTTAGTGGAGGGAATCTCCAATTTGCTGGTGAAGGGAGCTAAGTGACCATGTATGTAATTTGTAGCTGGGCCCAGGGGCATTGGGACAGCAAGACGGCAAATAATAGCAGATACATGGAGAGAGAGAAGGTCTCTGTTCCTGCACGTGGTCCTTCCCCTCCCCACCACGTACTCTCCCACCTCCCAGAGCCTGGATCCCAGAAGAGAAGGCTCACTGTCCCCTTGAGACACCTGGAAGGGTGGGGTTCTGGTGTCCCCAGGGGGTACCCAGTCCTGGGAGAATGGAGGCAGGGGCCAGTGTGAGCAGAGGGCTGGCCTGAGAGTCAGGATGGCTGGGGTCTGGCCCCAGTCTCTCACCAGCTTGTGTGTGACTGCGTGTGAGTCCCTCCTTCCTGTGCCTCAGGTGTCCCCTCTGTAACATGAGCGGATGGCCTGGCTGATAGCATAGCCCTTCCAACTTTCCTGCGCTGTGACCCCAAACCAAGGAGGGGATAGGAACAGGTGGGGGAAGCAGGGAGAGCACCCTGCCCAGAGGCTGTGGAGCTCTGCTCCTGCCCACTCACCACTCTGGGCTTTTAGCAAGACAGTGCCATTCACAGACCTGTGATCCATTTTATAGACCCAGCCTTCCGGAAAGGGAGGCATCGGCCACTTCTAGGTCTTTTCACTTCACTTGCTGACTCCTTGGGGGTCCAGGCTGGCCCCTGGGGTTCAGGAGACCTGGTCCAGCTCTGCTCTGCCACCGAGTAGCCATGACTTTGGCTATGTCTTCTCCCTCCCTGGGTCTCTATCTCTTCCATTGTTTAATAGTGGTTTAAACCTTAGCTAAGGACTCAGTCCCCGCATCCCACAGGCTCCCCAGTCTCGCTCTGGACCAGGTGTAGGCAAGGAGCGACTATAGTTACAAGTGTGCAGGCAGGTAAGGCCACGGGCAGGGAACATCCTTGGTGTCGCCTGTCCTGGGGTCCATGGGGTGTGAGGTGGGCTCCGACTCTGACTCAGCTCAGGGACAAAGCTACTTCCAGAGACCCTCTGGGGTCTGAGGATGCTTGTGGGCCAAGCAGCAGCTACAGCACTGTGTCAGCCTGGAGGGCTGTTTCTCAGGGCCCTGGTGAGCAGACGGCGGTGCTGACGTCATGAAACTGCTGCGGGATGTGGTACCCAGAGCTGGTGGGAAAGTTGTGGCAGGCTCTGTCCTGACAGACCCTCCCTGAATCCCAGCAAGGGGCTGAGATGAGTGAGGCGAAGGGGCTGCAGCGGGAAGCCTACAGTCTGTGTTGGGCTGGGGCGGTTGTTTGTTATCCCTGCACCCCCTCTGCCAGGAAGAATTATTTAGAGAGCAGAGGCAGACGCTAGAAGCCCTTGAGACTCAAGAAGTGGTATGGAGACTTGGGTGGGGGGTGTGGGTAGTCAGACTGCTGGGGCTCTAATCCCGGCACCTCTACTTACCAGCTGGGTGACCTCGGGCAAATTGCTTAGCCTCTCTGGGCCTTGATTTGCTCATCTATCAAATGGTATGGTAATAGTAACCCATTTGATTGACAGGTTCAAATGCACAAGTCCATCTGCTTAAAGCCCTCATTCCAGGGCTGTGTGTTTCAGCAGAGCTTGAAGCACTGTATGCGTGGGCTGCAAAGCCCTTCCAGGCCCCAGAGGGAAAGTTTGAGGAGGGCCTGAGGTTCAAGCTCACCAACCAGCTGATGGGAATGAACTCTGAGGGGATATGAACCCAGAGACTGTGATCGAGCGGGGGCTGCCCCTGGTCACAGGGTGGGTAGAGCTGGCAGGTTATGCCCCAAGCCCTGGAATTGTTGGGCTCTGATCACTGCTGCCTCTTGGGGGTGGTTAGGCAAGGGTGAGTCTGGCTCGTAGGTGCAGCAGCTGTCTGCCCTCCTAACTAGTCTTGTTTCCTCTGCAGCCTCACTACCGGACATTCTACGTCAACAAAGGCAACGGGGTGGGATCCAACGAGGCCCCCTGAGCGCAGACTGCTGGACCCAGGCAGCACCGCCCCCGCGCTCCCCAGCTGAGCCTGCCTGCTGTTCCCACAGCTCTTCCCACGGGGTGGGCAGAGCCCAGCCCTGTGTCCTGGCCTCCCCTTCCCCTCTTAGCTACACTCAAGCCAGGCCCCTCTCCTCTCTGTGACCTCTAATGGTGCTCTGAGGCTGTGGTGGGGGTGGGAGACGGGTGGGCTCCTCTCCCCTCCCTCCCTCCCTCCCCCTCCTGGGTGGGATGGTTGGGGCTGGTGGTGGGCTCGCATGGTACCAGCCTGCCTCTCTGGACCTCCCCTGCCGTAACAGGCCTGTTGGCCATTTCTCTGTGGGCCTTCCCCCGTGATGAGCCGGCGGGTGCCTGGCGGAGGCAGCTGCCCATCGTGCATCCCCGCAGGCCCTCCTTCTTCCCGGCAGCCTGGCCCTAGCAGGAGGGGACTGGCATTACGTGCTCTGCTCTGGTCCTAGCTATCAGTGCCCAGGCTGGCAGAGCCTGCGGCCCTTGACCGCCTCCAAGGGAAAGCTCTCTGTGTCTCCGCATCATCAGGACCCACCTTGGGTCTCACCACACCTGCTTTGCATCTGAGGTCCCTGGGGACAGTTAGGCTGTTGGATAATCTTAGCCACAAAACTTTTCTTCTAGCTGCTGAGATAAGCGATTCCCTCAACATGTCACATGAAAACGCCACTGGCCCAGCTGCCCTCAGGAACCCTCATTTACCTGTAGAGCCTCATTGGGTCTGTGATCCTGTGTCCTCCTGGCTACGGGACGTGAGCAGGCTGGTGGAAGCATGGCTGGGCTCGTATCTGCTGGGACCACTTCCAAGGGTACCTTACAACGTGCCCAGCCTCATCCGCCACCCCCGTGACACAGGCCTCCTCTCCCCTCTGCCTGCTGTCCATGTGGCATGTTGCCGTGGGGCCCAGACCAAACCAGCAACAGCAAGGTGGGGTCCACCCACCTCTCACGGCTCTGGGGAGGCAGCCGGCTTGCCGGGGTAGTGGGGGAAGGGAGGGAGACATCCGGCTTTGGCTTTCCTCACCAAATAAAACTTTGGTCACCCACTTATTTTGTACTGAACAAGTGTTTCCCTAAGGGTTACCAGGGGGACCGGCTGCCGTTCTTCTGAACACACTTTTTGTGCCTCTGATGGGTGTGTGCGCATCTTCCCGCTTCCCTGCAGGAGACGGGACTCCCTGGGGTCTCCCCACCTGCCCAGCCCTATCTGCAGCCTTGGGGTTCAGTGTGGGGACTGGGCCTTTCTGAAGCAGGCCTTGGCTAACTAAACAGAAAGGAGGCTTGTGGGGAAGGGGAGGGCTGGGGGTGCTTAGACCCCCTGGCCAGCCTACCCATCCCCGGAGGGCAGCAGGATCCAGAAGTGACTCTGCGCAGGCTGGAGCAGAGACCGGCTGGAGGCCTCAAACCTGAGAGCTTTTCCAGTACTGGGGTGGGCTTCCTGGGCAGGGGTCCCCACGGCAAAGGCCTGGCAGGAGAGCCAGGCTCCTGAAGGCAGTGCCATCCTGGGCTTGGGCATGGAGGAAGGAGGTGAGGCCTTCCAGTCACTGGGAGCCCAGAGAAGTCTGGAGGGGCATTCAGGGAAGGCCCCCTGGAAGAGGAAAGCAAGACAGGTGGAAACATGACTTGGTAGAGAAGAAAAGGGGGTGCAAGCAAACCATGCCCTTGCCCCTGCTGTGGCTGGGATCCCCCAGGCCTGTCCAATCTCACCATCCTCCCTTATTCTGACCCCAGGGGAGCAGCCCTCTCCCCTCCCCACCCCCAACTAGTCAAAGTATCGGAATGAGCTTGCTGCGGGTCCATCGTGGAGGGGCAACACCCTTCCCTCCTCTCTCTCCCCGCCTAGCTGGACCAGTGGCCAGGCTTCCCAGAAGGGGACTCCTTGGAATCAGAACAGGGAGGGGAGAAATACCCCAGAAGAAGACAGAAGGGAAGAGAGGGTCAGAAAGGAAAGGCAGGCGTATGGTCCGGTGCTTCCAGGGAGGACCCCCGGGTGCCGCCAGGAAGGAGGGACTGCCGCCAGTGGGGTGGGTGTTCTGCCACCGTGGCTGGGGGCCCTGTGTCCCTGCTGCTCCCCGCAGCCCCCTGACCCAGGTTCCAGGA